CAGACTACAAAACATACACAACAACATACTAACTCACACGAACACATAGCTAGAAAAAGTGGACAAGTCATAAAAAAGGGGTTTTAAAGTGTTCGGTCTAAGGGAACTGGGGTAGGGGGAGAAATGAAAACACTCTTAGCTACCAGGGCACTTCTATAGGTAGTGTCAGTTAGGGTCGACAGCAGTCTCCTAGTGGGGGTAGTGTAATCGAACAAATTCATCCAACTAGGATAGAAGTGGTCCTTATCCTGGTAGGACGAGGCTATAACGGGCAAAATGTATGAATCAGGAATGACACATTCGGCCAAATATAAATCTAATTGAGCAGCTCTAAAGTTAGACTCTAATGAAACAAGAGGGGGCTTCTTGTTCAAATCGGGCTAAAAAACTATCAGACTCAAAGTACTGTCTTTCGAAAGAGACTCAGGTTTGCTTGTAACCCTAAGATCCATGGGTTCCGTTTCACTTAAATCAGGTGATAAATTCGATTGACTTACTTCCAACTCGAGATTATCTAAGTCGCCATCAGAATTATCCAGAATTAATTCAGAATTTTCCAAAGCTAAATCAGACTTATCCCAAATTAGATCAGAATTATCCGGAGTCATCTCAGTAGGTGTTACGACTAAATCAGGATCTTCCAAATTTAAATCCAAAGTGTTCGAAGTCCGGTTGGTTTCTTCCGAGCTCACACTACTATCATCCAGGCATACTTTGTCCAAAGACTTAGCTTCGAGGAGACTAGGATCGGGGTGGGTTAAGGTGTCGACGTTTAAAGGTTCTAGCTTTCTCAGTTTAGGGTTTAAGTCATTCAAGGAGTCTGATTCAATTACTTTTGTTCCATCCTCAAAGAATTCTTCGTTATCCTTAATATCATTAGCGTCCACGAAATGGATGCACTCAGTTTTAGGTTCAGAGGGCATTTTTTTGTTAATGCTTTTCTTTATCAAAAGTACACTTGCAGGGTCAAGGACTGGGGAATCTAAAGGTTGAATGGGCTGGCTAGAAGTGGGTCCAAGTGGGGAGCCATAAGAGATTGATCTATCAGAAGATCCAATAGAGGGTCAGCCTTTAAGTTTTGGTGAGGACCTACAGGGTGGGGCAGCAACCCGGATGTTACTAATGGGTGGGTGGTCTCGACCATAGTCATGTCCCCGGGTTGTTCCAGCAAACGAGGTAGTGTGATGCCCTAGATGACGGTCACTAGTAGAGGATTGATATTTCAACTTAAGTTCTCGCCTCATGTATTTCCAAGTAGTGTACTCACCGCGAGACTCTTTATGATCTTCCAATCTTGCCCAAAATTGAAGAGCCCGACCTTTTAGGTGAGACTTAGCGATGCTAACTTGGTGGGACTCAGGGATATGACATGATTCAAAATAGTCCTCTAGTTTCCTAACCCATTCCCTAAAGTAGTAAGCGTCTAAAGAACCCCATCAAAGGTAGACAGACGATAAGGTGACTCTAAGTGAGGTCGTGGAAGCCTAGGCTCAGTTCTCGGGTGATAAGCTGAGTGGGACATGTAATTAGGGTGGGGATAGTCAACGGGTTTCTCCGTCATAATTCTAGTCATATTTCCCACTAGGTTCACGATGTCATCTAAACTCTTTTGGAGTCTTATCGGGTCCATTGAAAAGTGTCAAGTGAAACCTACTGAAGATTGGGTGCAAGGTACCACACTCTACAAAGGGAAAACACCATTTCGACTTGCTATAAGGTGCAGGAAAATACTGGACAGCAAGCTTCAAGAAGGGTTTAAGTCACCCGGTGTTTAGGGAGGTTGATAAGGCTTGGGTAGCACCTAAATCAAAGGTTAGGCTCACTTAAATGCTACCAAACAATGCAGGAAATGAAAGGGCAGCACGCTAGAAGGATAGACGAAGTTATTTAGGCAGATAGGTTGGACTCAGGAACGTGGACAGCAAGTAAACACTACCTAAAACTCTCCCAAACGGATGCTAATAGGTGCAGGAATAAAGTGGACAGCAGGTCAGCCAGGGGTTATGTAGTCTAAGTGTTTTGTTAAGGCCTTATGGTGAGGAAAGCAACTAAACAGCGACGAACATTTCTCTAAATGATGTCTAACAGTTGCTAGAATAGTGTGGAATGCAGCTACAAACAAGGTTTTAGTTGCCCTAAGCAGTTAATAACAAAGTAAGTCTAAAGGCAGCACTCACACGATAGCTAGGACAACTTAAATGTCAATGTATGGTTGCAGGAAATGCACTTGCAGCGGTGAAAACAGTGAAAAAACTCTAACGAAGCAATGGTATGCATGCAAGTTTTCAGCTACAATGAAAGGCTATACCCTAGGATGTTTTTCTACACATGTCGTGCATGCCTACCATGCTCTGATACCAAGATGATGTGAAACTATCCCATGCGAAAATGATTTTCTTAATGAAAGTTTGCACGCTTAGATTTAGAGGCAATTATAGGCAAGATCTTATGCGGAATTGAACGATAAGATAAATATTAAAAGGCACTTAGCTTAGGTTAAATCACATGAATAAAAGTTAAGTTCAAAAAGATAG